AAGGCTTTCATCTTGTTTATTGTATTGTTGATTTTTTTCTTTAAAATTTCATTGTCCTTGATTGTGTTACCTTTGTAATTTACAATGTTATAACTCAAGTTGTTCTTGGATCATTTCCACACTGCTTGATCACATTTTTACATGTGGATTCATTTTTTTGTTCATAGGATCATATAATCAGTGTAGCAGGGTGGCAGTGTAGACGTACCCAGAGACAGTCATAAATGTGAATACTAGATAATAATAAAGGGAATTACAGTTCAGGATGAACATCAAGGCTCTGTCTAGAATACTTCCCTCTTTCAAAAGTGGGATGTAAATTAGACATATCAAAATTGCAAATGAAGCCAGGATTTGAATTTCCTGTGCTTCATTTGCATAATTGCGTCATGGCGTTTTTTTCAAAAAACACTATTTCAAAAATGAAACTGCGGTCTAGACGCGGTTTTTTCTAAAAGAAAAGCCTTTTTCAAAAGATCCTGTACTCCTCAGAGTTAACAGGATCCTTTGAAAAAGGCTTTTCTTTTTGAAAGAACCACGTCTAGACTGTGGTTTCACTTTCGAAATAACGTTTTTTGAAAAAAACACCGTAACTCGATTATGCAAATGAAGTTCAGGAAATTCAAATCCTGGCTTCATTTGCAATTTTGATAAGTCTAATTTACATCCCTCTTTCGAAAGAGGGCTGTAGTTTAGACGTACCCTATAGATCAAGCTTTGCAATACCTGTGCTTCTCAAATGTTCCATGCTCTAGGAAATTCTGAAGTATAGTATTTTCCAGAGTATGATGGCTTGTCCCACTTGACAGAATCAGCTTTTGGCAAGTCTCAAGAAATGCAAAATATAATTATTCAGTTGTTTTCAAATAAAGTTTGTTCACTGACAATATTCCTTTAAACAATCTAACTAAGGACTAGGGACATATCTGCACTGGGAAGCTATTTCAAAATATTACGCTGGTTATTTCAAAATCTGTACTCCTGCTTTCCTGGGGGAATAAGCTTATTTCAAAATTGTTATTTCGAGAGTTTCAAAATAACTTATTTTGAAATAATTTCCTAGTGTAGATATGTCCTAATAGGGCTGAGGAAATGAATATAGCACCTTCTTAAAGATTTGATTGACTCATGGCTAAAACAAGTGAAAAAATTCAGAGCCACACTGAATGAAAACCCTCCTTTCTATCCCTGTCACTCCACATTATATCACTCAGTCAGTATTTCAGATAAGCTCTGCATCTAATTCATAGAGTCATGTTGGTGCAAAGTTACTCTGTGTAACACAATATGACTGGTATAATGGACATGAAGCAAAGAAATTGTATATAGCTGAAGGTTGCTCCAAGAGTTCTTTGATTAAAAGAATTGAAATTAATTGCCAATTTGTTACTATGAAGCTTATTGATAATTCAAGGTTATTAAAGCTCTGAAAATGAATTACATTGTTACATGCATTTGAGCATAATTATAATGTGGTTCAGTTCCAGGGGGAAAGAAGAAGGTTCCTAAAAATAATAATGTAATTTCCATTTCTTTTTGCACTGTCCGTCTACTGTCACTGTGCCATTATGTTCCAAAAACTCCAACTATTTTGAGTTCAATACATGCAGAAACAAACTAATGAAGGTTTGCCACTATGTGGGATATGAACCTATTCATTGAAGGTTTACTGGGTTATTAAACATCTTACCTCATTATCTACTATCAGAAAAAGAACCTTTTTGTTAAGTTCTGTACTACATATTAGTTTTAGTTAACTTTAATAAATGAAAATTTAAATGATTATATATATTACAATTAACAATCAGATATTTTAGTTTCAAGGGTTTGCATATTATTTCCAATATTCTTCCTTTAACTTTAATGGAAACAAACTAAAATTTTTCATGCTTTCATGGGTGGTGATGGGGAAATGAGCTGTGATTCAGAAATAACCTTGTTTCCTTTCCCGATACCTGGGTTGATGATGATACCAGAGGGTATGTGTACACTTGCGGCCTAATTCAAACTAGGGCTGCAAATGTAGGCATTCGGAATTGCAAATCAAGCCCGGGATTTAAATATCCCATGCTTGATTTGCATCTTCCTGGCCGGGCACCATTTTTAAAATTTACAAGCCCAAAGTAACTGCCCGCATCTACACGTGGCAGTGAAACAGGCATTCAAAATAAAGCCCTAATTGGAACTACCTCATTGCAGGAGGAATAACAGGTAGTTCAAACTAAGGCTTTATTTCGAACGCCTGTTTCACAGCCATACATAGACGCAGGCAGTTACTTCGGGCTTGTAAATTTAAAAAAATGGTGCCTGGCTGGGAAGATGCATATCAAGCATGGGATATTTAAATCCCGGGCTTGATTTGCAATTCCAACTGCCTACATTTGCAGCCCTAGTTCGAATTAGGCTGCAAGTGCAGACATACCCATAGATTTTATCTGGCCTTTGTGCAGTTAGGAATGAGCATAGAAGAGGTAGGAAAAGAGCTTGCTCTTTTGTTTGCTTTCTTTACTTATTTAATTATTTATGTATTTTGTGGGTTAAGATGGTGTATCCAGTCACATAAGAGATGGCTCATAAAGAAGATGAAATAATTTCAGTATTGCCCAGTCTAGAGGTTCTCAAATTGGGCATATGGGCCCTTTGTAGAGGTGTGAAATGTATCACACAGTACATAAGGGCTGTCTCTACATTGGCAACCTTTTCCATAAAAGGGATGCTAATGAGACACTTCAGAATTGAAATGCTGCAGGGCATTTAAACATCCCCCGCGGCATTTGCATGAACATGGCTGCATGAACATGGCTGCCGCTTTTTTCTGGCTCGGGGTTTTGCCGGAGAAAAGTGCCAGTCTAGATGGGATCTTGCGGAAAATAAGCCCTTTTCTGCAAGATCCCTTATTCCTACTTTCAAGGTAGGTAAATAACTGCCTGGTAAATAACTTTCAAGTAGGAATAAGGGATCTTCCGGAAAAGGGCTTATTTCCTGCAAGATCCCGTCTAGACTCGCGCTTTTCTCCGGCAAAACCCCGAGCCGGAAAAAAGCAGCAGCCATGTTCATGCAAATGCCGCTGGGGATGTTTAAATGCCCCACGACATTTGCAATTCCGAAGTGTCTCATTAGCATCCCTTTTACGGAAAAGGGTGCCAATGTAGACACAGCCAAGAAGTGTTGGGAATGAAAATTTTACTGGGCACATTTTACACATAGCAATGATAAGTGGCAACGCTGATTCCTCCAGCCACGTCAGAACCTCAGATGGTGCTGTGCATTTGACTCAAATGGCTCTGTGTATTTTGATGTATTTCTGTTAAGCTTTATAGAAAGTTGTTGCCATCTATATGCTAAGTCAGTATGCACATTTAATAGTAAGCATTGACCACAATCACAGTTCTACTTGCTCATATTACAATAGATCATTGGCTCTGTTTTGAATATTTAGTGAGAGCAGAATGTTGATTTTTGCACAGACATAGCCTTCTGTGGACTGGAAGGTTGTTTGAGGAAAATACTCACATTTTGGTCAGCAGAGTCAGTAATAGTCACGCTGAGGTCAACTCTTTTTGATTGAACCAAGACACAGCAGTCTCTTTACTTTCCAGTGAACCGACAAAGAAGGGACAAAAATACCAGAAAAATTATTCATTTTTAAATCCCTGTAAAATGAAAGCCAGTGCTGAAAATCAGAGGACAGGTTTTGGGCTGGTGTATTGAAAGTATTTGACTGATTCCTATCAATACCTCTCATTTGAACAGTTCATTATATGTATTATAACTTCAGAATGACACAAATGTTTTTCCATTTGCAATGGTTAAGTTTGAGCATTCCTCTTGTAAGTGATGTTCAAAACAGTGACACGCACTCTTCTAATAAAAACATTAGATTATTTCAATGTGGTCTACTAGAGGCTATTTTAAACAAACACCTTAATCTGGTACTAAATGAATGAATTCCTCTCTTGAGAGTGCTAGAGTATTTAACAGTAAGTGTGGGCTCTGTATTGGTTACATTTTCACTTCTGGGTGCCATTTCAGATGTTGCTTATGACGAATAAAACTCCAATATGCTGAGAACTTGTTAATTTAAAGAGAGTTTTTGGTATTGAACTCTCCAGGACAAAAAATAGTTTTTCCCTGAAGAAAATATTCTGACTCCTGCGTTCCCTTAACCAGTGAGTTTCAAAGCCCAGTAAGTGAGGGTATGTCTACACTACCCCGCTAGTTCGAACTAGCGGGGTAGTGTAGACATACCCTGATATATCCAATAGATCAACCTGAATTTTGGACTAATTTAGAGACTTGACTTGTCATGTGTGTCTTTTCTACCTATTTTTTGGTATTTTTTTGTTTGGTTCAGAAGTTGAAGTGGTAGATGACATTTATAAAACAACAGGCCTTATCCAATGTCCACTGAAATAAGTGGGAAGAAGGTGCCCACCAAATATAGCCGTATTTTGTATAACTCACATATTACGAAGTAGTGTGAGCAAGGAGTGAAAAATACAGTTCCAAGAGAAGGCACCTTTAAAAAGTTAACAGTCATCACTACTACTAATTACTGGAAATAATGCATGTAGGGCCAGATTCACAGTAATTATTACAGTATATAATATAGTGTGTATAATTACATTGTTCACTGTTCTGTTTCCAACCGTGGCTAGCACCAGATGCTTCAAAGAAAGGTGTAAGGACCCCATAATATAGAGAGGTGGTATAATCTGCCTTCATGAAGGTCTCATCCTAATCTAAAACAGTCAGAGATTGCTTTCAGCCCTGAAGTATTTAAGGTTTTATAGCCTTTCCAAAAATGTTCTTAGTATTGGCCTTACTCACATCCTGAGGCAGTCTAATTTGAATGCTCTTTCATTTTCATTGAGAGTTATTTAGCAGTGTTCTTTAGCATTGAGACAGAAATAATAAGAGGCTCCTGTTTTTGATTCTTTGCCTCTAAGCAGTTCATTATTTTATATAATTTTATATAATCTTATCTGCCTGTTTTCTAGGACCTTATTGTCTTCAGATGAGAGGTTTTCCATACTTCACTCCCCATCTCTAAACACATATTATCCACAATATCCTTTATGGGATAGGACAAGTGGTGTTGCAAACAATATTCCAGGTGAGGAATTATCATTCATTTATATAACATTATATTATTTCCATAATGTGTTTCTCTAACCTATTTTTATGCATCTTAACATCATGTCTGCTTTTTTTGACTACAACTGCACATTGAGCAGAGGTCTATAATAATGTCCTGGTCCAATTAATTTCAGTGGAATTTGGATTAAGGCCTTGATTCAGAGGACAACAGCTATATCTCAGGTAGCAATGTATAGTAAACTGTTGGCAAGATTGACATTTTAACATCAATCACTGTACTGTTGCAAAAGAAATCACATACAATATAGGTTGCAGTGGCTTCAAACATGCTGTTTGGAAAATGTTTTCAAATTATATAGGGTATACACCAAGTGACACATGTAAATATATGCATTTTTCCTGTGCTGGGTTTAAAATCAATCCATTTAGTCAAGTAGTCTTATTATATGCTACCATGTTGGAGGCTTACATTAAAATCGATGGTTCACAAAGGCTGGGCACTTTACTTCAAGGGAAAAGAAGATCCTTCTGTCATTCAGTAACTCTCTCTGGTCTCAGACAGACAAAGAACTACTGTAAGTATGAAGCTTCAGACAAGCTGCTGTAAGCCTTTTTGATAAAATTTTACTTCTGAGGTTAATGACAATACCTAAGGTGTGGGAGTCATGTAATAAGCGCAAATCTGACTTGAAAAATTAAAAACAAAGAGCAGAAAACAAAGAAAAAAGTAACATTAGTTTGAAAAGAATGGCATTATAGTCAGAGAGTAAATAATGAGGAACAATACAGAAAGACACAAGAAGACTTAGATCATTTAAATGCTAAAAGATGAAAGCTAGTTCAAAGCAGCTAAATACAGAACAGTGACAGGTTTCTAGGGGGAAAAGCATATTAAACAATTGTGTGTGTCATTAAATATAAAAAATCAAAAGGTAAAAAGAGTCTAAAAGATAATTCTGTGTGCAGCATTAAATATGAATGATAAGTAATAAGAAGAGGAAAGAAAAATCTATGTCTAACATTAAAAACAAAGAAACATTACCAACTATGCCTAAGTAGGGCAAAAAGGAGCCAGGTACAATTTACTAATGTAAACAAATTCTGAAGAAACAAAGTAAAAAGAGAACAAAAGAAAAATAATCCACTTTTGACAATACGAATATAGAAGGCTACAAACTGTGATGGGAACTCAGAGTTTTACCCCTAACTGAGACATAGATGAGCAAGTAGTTTAGGGCTTGTGAGGCCATGATATTAGGCTCACTATCATAAAGGCTTGGCTGCACTATCCAGGCAATGAACTTGTGTCTGGCATTCAAAAACTTGCTTTTCCTAAGTTCTTTTTATAAAGAAAAGGCATCAAGGGCCAATTAATTTAGTACAGTGCTTCTTTAAGAAAGGCCGAAGCAAAAATATCATAATCTTCATTCCCATCCTGTCTATGAAGCTATATTGGAACACATGTCTTTTAATGAATTAAGTTGCCAATTCAAGAAAAGGCAAGAGGAGAGATTTTTCAAGGTATTTAGGTTCCTAAAGATGAAGATTAGGCACATCTGAAAATCCCACTAAGTACCTATCTGCAAGTTTAATACCTCTGTAAACCTGGTTTGAGATCAGCTTCAGGAAGATTTAATATCTGAAATATCCTCCTTTGAATTTGTCATTATTGCATTAGGGCATTTAGAGGCAAATTCCACAGTTTTTTATCCTGATGATGGCTTGACAGTAACATCTCTGGATATGTCTACACTTGCACCCTAGTTCGAACTAGGGATGCAAATGTAGGCATTCAAAATAGTAAATGAAGCCGAGATTTAAATATTCCATGCTTCATTAGCATAATCTCGGCTGCACGCTGTTTTGGAACCCAACAGTTTTGAAAGTGAAAGTGCGCTCAGGGCCATGTTAGTTTGAATCAAACCCCTTGGTTTGAACTAATATTACTCCTCACTGTGAGGAAGACATTATTTATTTTCCATCTTTTACTTTAAACAAAGAAAGCCTGACCTTCCAGTGAAGCAATGACCCTGTCATATCTAACAGTCTGACCATCTTTATCTCCCTCGTTCCTGTTGTATTGACCATGTCAGCTTTTTATTAACAAATCCTTAACAAATGTATTTTTTATAATATTACCATAATAATTCACTTAGGACTCAAATGCCTGATGGCAGCAGAATAGATAGAATTGGAGATATTTTCACATTTAACAAAAATGTTTATTTTAAAAAGATAAGAGTGCAAACTATTTCCATTGCATTCCTCCATTGCTATGCATTATTGCATATTTTAAAACAACAACTTATGCTTACATTAAATGATAGTTAAGGTATTCAAGGCAATACCCAAAGTTAAGAAAAGGCAGAATTAAAGTGTGCAACAATTATTTCAATCGCTTTGCATTAGATGCATTTTGATATAGCCTTTAATTACATGATCATGCTTGATCATTTAGGCTACGTCTACACTGCCCCTTCTCCGGAAGAGGCATGCTAATTTCAGACTTTGGAATAGGGAAATCCTATTCAAGTAGGAATAAGAGATCCTCCGGAAAAGGGCTTTATTCCAGAGGATCGCGCCAGTCTAGACGCTTTTTTCCGTCTTTTCCCCAAGCCGGAAAAAAAGCGGCGGACATGTTTATTTAAATCCCGCGGGGGATATTTAAATCCCCCGCAGATTTCCCTATTCCAAAGTTTGAAATTAGCATGCCTCTTCCGGAGAAGGGGCCAGTGTAGACGTAGACATACTGTTTGTATGTTTGTTTTTGACAGTAGAAGAATTCTGAGACTCAGCAATTCTAGGTTCTACTCCAAATTTCATGGACAGTTTCAGAGGTGTATTGTTACCAGATTTGCCCAATACTCTAGGGTATGCTCATTTATTAGGGTTACTCTTATGGGACTGGGGGAAGGTTAACAATTCTATCAGTGTGCTGTTGGTGCTTACTTGTGCTCTCATATGGAGCTGAATTCTCCCTGCTCCAATTCCCCCTCCCACTGAAGCTCTCCTGCAGGAACTAGGTTCCTCAGGATGGGGTTCTTCTCACCTTACAACACACACAGACACTCATACCCACTACCAGAGCATGTCTGAGAGGACTGGGTAATCAGCACTCACAAGCTGACCCCCTCATATGTCCCTGGACTCAGCTGGCTGGGTTGAACTGCAATGCCACACTGCACCCTCTTGTGCCTTTGGACTCAATGGGCTGGATTAAACAGGACTTTAACCTGCCATCCTTATAAGCCCCCAGGTTCAGCATTTCCCTAACCCACCTTTCACACCACAGTCATTCACTGGTAAACCACACAATGAGCTAACCCCACAGGACTTTGGGCGCTACAGGGATCTTTAGCTTGGGTACAGGAAGTGTTATTGTAGAGCGAATGGGGAAGCCAAAACAACACCCCTTGAGGAAGAGTGAGCTAAAGAGAAAGAAAGGGAGAAAGAAGCAACTAACCTAATAATGAAAGTTATTTATTTCTGAGTAGTGAATAGATATCAAACAGTTACAATATTAAATCTAACAGTTGCAATATTAAATCTAAATTGAAACTGATTACAAATGTTAGGTAGCCATATAACAGTTTACATAGGGCAGGGTCAGGAGGCTATGCTTAGAGCGATAGTTCATGGGAGAGAGAGACCTCACCACTCCATGGAGCTTGCACTGATCAGGGTTCCCAGATGATGATGGTAGCCAGGGGTCCAGAGGGCAGGAGACAAGCAGAGCAGAGCCCCCAGCATGATCAGACGGGAGATGTAGAAGTCTCAATGGAACTGATGCAATTTAAATCCAGGTATCGACAGTTTTCTTGGGGCAAGGATAGGAGTTTTATAGAGATAGTTCAAAGAGAAAGAGGAGAGACAATAGAGACTGATCACCCCTGGTAATGGGTGATGTTCCTTGAACGAGCTCACAATGCAACTAGGCAGTTTCAGTATTTTAGATGTCAATAGGATCGTTACTAGAATTGGTCTGATAATGATTAATTTGGGTGTGAGCAGGCCTAGGTTCATTAGCATCTGGAGCAGATATTTCCCATCAGGCAGTGCTTCTTTACTTTCAGGATCCCATAGTTCACTGCGGTTCCTGCCTTGGAAGAGCTGGTCTCCATTCTGCATGCTAATGAGTTCTGTCTTCAATGCACATGAGGCTGGGGTGTTCTTTAATTAGTTTAGGTATGTCTTCCCTGGCCTTTTCCTTGCTTTGTCTGATTCTAGCAGAGGCCTAGGGGAAGAGGGGGGGTGGTTTTCCATGAATGTCACTCCCTGGATCCCCAAGAGCATGGGGCTGGTAGGTAACAGTAGCACAGGTGTTATGCACCCAGGAGCAAAGGCAAAATTTGTCGTCGTCCCCCCCTCCCACCACTGCTGCACTGTAGGGCTCCAAATCTGGCTCACAGCTGAGCCCAACCCTGGGAGAAGGAGGGAGCATGTACTGCATCTGCCTCCACCCCCTGCAGTTTGTGACTGGGCCCCTGCTCGCACTAACCAGCAGGCAGAGATGGAGAAGGATTGGGCTGGGGGCAGAGAGGCAGGGAGGGGGCTCCAGCCGGTGTTGGTGGGTGGAGGAAAGCTAAAGGATGACAGGAGGAGCAGAGGGGGACTAAATTGGAACCCCCCTAGTGTGTCGCCCGGGGGCAACTGCCTCCCTTGCTATACCACTGGACAGTTTTCTCTAGCGGTTATAGTTGTTTCTTTGGCATTCCTATTCTGATCTTGCTGCCTAGCAATGTATCTCCCTAAAACCCTTTTCTGCCCCTGTCCCATTGCCCATTACCTGTGTCTGGCTCTCCCTGGCACTGTCCATCACCCTGTGGTCTACCTATGCATGCTCTGCCTGTCTTCTTCTCATTCTGTCTTTTCTCCTATTCTCCCCAGCTGTTGTCTGCCACTGCCTTCCCTCCTGCCCCTATTTTGCCAGCTATTCAGAATTCAGCCAAAAATGAGTCAGTGAGGGTGGGGGAAAGCAAGCAATGGAGGGAGAGGGAATGGGGCGGGGTCTTGTAG